CTGGATAGATACATGACTCGGAACACCGCATATTGGCATCTCTCGGCGTGTCCCTCTCCCTCCTATGTCTTTCTACCAGACTTGATCGTGTAACTTGGTTGCATCGGAATTCGTCCCCCTATGGCATTGATGCTGGCTCGCGAGTCAAGCATTGTGATGAGCCTGGACTACATTTAGTTACGCTACCATGTTGCCATACTTCAGGCGAACTGATCGGGATTCGGCTTTTCGACAAAGAACAATGTCACACTTGGAGTGGACAGTCTGCTCAGCACCAGCTATTTGGCCTTCATTCCTCCTTTTCAAGTTCAGATCTGTAGTGAATGAATATACAGGCACATCTTCATCATTGCTCGTTCGTACAGCACACAACATCCACAGCCCGCCATCCCAAGACATGACGTCCTCTTCGCCCACCCGCTACCGTCTCGTGTTCCACGTCCCCGAGACCCATCTCGAAGCCTGTAAGCGAGCCATATTCGATGTGGGCGCCGGCCGCTTCCCGGGACCAGGCAACTACACCGAGGTCTGCTGGTCGACCATCGGCACGGGTCAGTTCCGCCCTGGCGACGCCGCAAAGCCGGCCATTGGCAAGCCCGGCGAGCTCGAAGAGCTGCGCGAAGCAAGAGCCGAGACCCTCTGCGTTGGTGAAGACGTAGTAAGAAAGGCCGTCGCGGCTTTGAAGCTGTGAGTGTGGCCTGTAAGCGCTTGAGAATGTTCCGCTACTAAATGGTGCGCCAGAGCCCATCCTTATGAAGAAGTCTCCTACAGTGTCATGAAGATGGAGGACTTTTGATACGGGCAGTGCACGCGTTTGCGAGACGAACATGATTGCCTGTAGACCTAAAATGGGCTGGCTGCAAATAGGTCTCGGCGAGATTTGCTGTACTTGAATTATCGTAGTATTTGACATACCCAACGTAAGGTACTTTTCTATCGGAGTCCTACATCTACCAAGACTGAAGGCTCCCGCCTCAAGCAGCATGCGACGATGGATACATCCTCCAGCTGTCCCTCTCCCAGAACCGCTTTTTCCTGCCCTCCTTCGCCCAGATCAGGTCGCCCCAGCCCATGACAGTGTACCCGCCAGACTTCTGCCCACCCTGCGCGTCGTAAAACTCCTTGGCCTTGGCCGTCCATGGCGCCCTTTTCCCCCTCTGCACCGCGTACTTGTAGTAGATGAGGTCCCAAACCCCCGGCAGATCTGGGCTGATGCCACGCTTCTGCTCTGAAATCGCGTCCCAAGGCCCATCCACGAGTACGGCGAGGCAGCGCGAAAACTGAGGATCGTACTCCACCGTCTCGTTGAGGTTGTACTTGGCCGTGTACTCGGACGCCTTGAGCAGCACGCTGTCGAGCTCGCTCCACGCGTCGATCCCCTGCGTCTCGAGCGTCTCGGCCGCGAGCGCCGCCCAGCCGAGGCCAGACTGGACGTGCGACTGGTCGCGCCCCGCCTCGGACGACTGGCCCGTCCTGCGGTCAAAGTTCCCGGGCAGCCCGGCGCAGAGGTCGTTGAGGTAGGCGTTGAGGGCGTAGTTGAACAGGTTCACGTCGTCGAGGTAGACGGCAAAGTTGAGCAGCGCCTTGATCGAGGCCATGCCGTAGTTGGCGTGGCCGATGATGATCGACTGGCGGGCAAAGAGCCAGTAGAGCTGGTTCGAGAAGCCCGTGCCGCCCTGCCACTTGGCCCCGGCCTCGGTCCAGTTGCCTTCCCAGCGCAGAATCTCGGCGGCGTTGACGAGAATGTCGCCCTCGATGCCGACGAGCAGGCTCGTGTCGATGCCGATGATGTTGGTGAGGCTGGTGCCCCACGCGTCAATGATGCTCGTGGCGACCTTGAAGTGCGCGTCGTCGCGCGTGATGTACCACAGGATGGCGTGTTGGTACGCTGCGCGCGTGTCGGCCGTGAAGCTCGTGTAGTTGCTCGGCCGCCCCCGCGACAGCACCTCCTTGGGCCCTTGCATCCTGTAGTCGACCGACGAGTACGAGTCGGCCTGGAGCGCGTTGAAGCCGCTGATCCATGGCTCCTGCTTCTCGCTGACCTTGGCGCGCATGAGCTCGAGGTCGTCGTGCGAGTGCCAGAGACCCGGGTGCTTGAACTGCCCAAGACCAGTCTTGCCGCCCCTGGGCATCACCGGCGGAACGGGACCTGGGTGGAGTCAGTGCGTGGTCCCTCGCTGCCATAGCGGGAGAGTTATAATTACCATTGAGAGTCGGCAGGTTCGTGACCAAGGATGTTGCTTGGTCTATGAGAGGGAGGAGGAAAAGTCCAAGCTTCAATATGTCAGCAGCGGCATTACCGGACGATCAAGTGGGCTCATATTACTCTTGCCACGGAAAGCTTCATCCTGAAAGCAAGGATCCAACGACAATCAGGTTCTTCGGCAGATTGGGCTCAAAGCACTGCACAACGGGTGGGCAACTGAAGCATGAGAAGACTCAAAAGGCCACCAGGACATCTTTATACAGCCATCGCTTGCCAGTCGGTCTCTATTGAGCCCCGACACCTGGCCGTCGCTGACAGATCGCGGGGTTCCTGGGATTAGCCCCTCATTTCCTGTCAGGAACAGACTCCCAAATGTCTCCATGTCAATTCTGCCTTCTGAGTCGTATCCGCGCCAAAACAGCCCGGGTTAACACGGCGGGGAAGTCCGCCTCAACGCTGATGTCAGGGTCGCTTGCCCACGTTGTTGCGGGAAATGCGTCGGCTTTCATGCCGTTTGATAATGGCGCTTCTAAGCCATCATACCTCCAGACCGGGCCAAGTATCGGCGCGATGCCCGGCTTCTGCGGTCGATGCCTCCCAATGCCATTAACCCGGACGCGTCCCGTGGCCTTCATCACTGCCCGTCATCCCACCACCTTGCGGGGAACATTCGCTCAACGCGGGCATGTTCGTGGCGATCCACGCTGTTGGCAGATGATCTCTGAGAGATTCGCATATGCCGTGTGGAGGTGGCGCTTCTTCCCCAGATTGAAATCCGGGGAAGAGCCGGGCCGTTGGGTCTTCGACATACACTCATGATCTTCTGTCACGAACACACTTCATGTTGTTCTGCGTTATTCGAAGCACGGCCCAGTTGACGATGGCGGTGGAGCAGGACAGGGTGACAGCGAGCGGTAATCTCTCTGGAACGTCGGCTACCGATTCGGGCCACGTACCCGCCCCCTTGAGCCCCTCTTAATCACACGCCGGAAGGTTTCTACGTTTTCCAATGCCGAATGCGTTTCCATGACGGCGCAACAACTGCGAGCAGAGCCCGGCGGCGATGCAAGGGAGCCACTGGGCAATGATTAGCGATGCCTCATATCACCTTGGGTCTTCCATATAGTCTGAGTCTCAAATGGGAAATGGATATAAAGACCTGCTAACGAGACGCTGCAACAGGTTGAAATTGAAGATCACACACTCACTTCACAGCCTTCATCTCTCATCACCATGAAGTGTATTGCCCTTCTCAGTCTTCTTTCCCTACCCCTGACGGTGGTGGATGCCAGCCGGGCCCGTCCTCACCATGCCCAACCTGAGACTCGACAGAGCTTGAACCACCCAGGCCTCCTTCACACGGCTGACGATTTCAAACGCATCAAGGGCCTGGTGGACTCCAAGAAAGAGCCCTTCGCAACTGGATGGGCCAAGCTCGTCGCACGCGCTGATGTGAAAGCCGTGCCGCACGCGCAGGATGTCATTTGCCGCGGTGACTCTGACTGCACCCAGAACTACGCCTCGTTCTACCGTGACGTCCACGCTGCTTACGCCAACGCCATCTACTGGAAGATCACGGGCACGACTGCCAACGCCGACACGGCGGCTGCCATTCTTGATGCTTGGAGCAGCAAGAACCCCGAGATCCAGGGGAGCGCGGATCGGTACCTTGCTGCTGGCATCTACGGCTACCAGTATGCCAACGTGGCCGAGATTCTGAGAGACTACAATGGCTGGAAGGGGCTCTCGGCTGCCATCTCCTTCCTGAGGAACAGGTTCTACCCCATGAACCACCGGTTCTTGGTCGAGCACAATGATGCCAAGATTGACAACTACTGGGCAAACGTGAGAGAAACTCAATCCAGCCAGGGTCTCATAATGTACTGGTAATGGCTGACATGACGCTGAACTAGTGGGATCTCTGTACCCTTTGCTCCATGCATGCCATCGGAGTGCTGTCCGACAACAAGACCATGATCAAGGAGGCGATCGACTACTTCAAGAACGGCGCCGGTAACGGAGCTATCAAGAACGCCATCTGGACAGTCCACACCGAAGAAGGCTCAGGCAAGCAGCTTGGCCAAAACCAAGAGTCAGGCCGCGATCAAGGCCACACCATGTTCAACCAGAACCTGCTAGGCGTCCTGGCGCAGCAGAGCTACAATCAGGGCGAAGACCTCTTCGCGCTGCTGGATAACCGCATCCTCGCTGGGTAAGTCTTTTACGGCTTTTGGGGTTTCCGTCCCGCTGACAGCGACCACAGAGCCGAGTACGCTACCAAGTACAACACATTTCACGACGTGCCTTTTGCCACGTTCAAAAACTCCCACGGGACGTACACGGCTATCAGCTCGCAAGACCGCGGCAACATCAGGCCCATTGGTGAGCTGCTCGTGGCGCACTACGAGTCGGTCCGCGGCCTCAACGCTTCCTGGACCAAGGAGTATCGCGACATGGTCGTGAAGAACGGCAACGGAGCTGAGGGCGGTGGTGGCGACTATGGCACCAGCAGCGGCGGGTACGATCAACTTGGCTTCGGCACCATCTTGTTCCGTCGGGAATGATCCAGTTAGGGTAGTACTCTGACAATTGGCATGAGATTCCATTAAGATCAATACTGACTTCTGAAATCTCGTCTCATGACACCTTTTCCCCTTCATACAGTCGTTTCTGCTCTTCATTCTTTCTCCAAGGTTGTCCTACAGCGGAGTCGCGCATTATGGTATATACGAAATGGATGCGTGAAACCAACTGAGACCCTGAAGAGGTGCACACACATCATACCGTGCAGAGTCTAATGGAGCTCCCACCGTACATGCGGCAGTTCCTTATTGTCAACGTGATCCAGATCCAGAAGATATAGGCGGTCCAGGGCTTCAGCATGTGGGGGCAGATCCATATACGGGGACACGAGGAGGCGACGCCGGCCGCGGCCAGCAGCAGTGACTCGACACGCCCCTTTCCGAGAAGCTCGTCCCGCTCT